CGAGGCAGGACCCTTTTGGCGCCCGTGGGCGGACGAGTTGAGGGCCGCAGCCCCGTCCGCCGTGGAGGGCGACAACAGGTCGCCGACCTCCGCTTAGGGCCTCGGGCTGGGACCCGGAGGTGAGGGAGGGCCCGGGTCCCCCACTCCACTCCCCCCGCATCAACCCCCTTTTCCCCCTCAAAACTGAGGAGGGGGAAAGGCTGACGAAGGGGCCGCCGAGCCCCATCAGTCCTTTGGGGGGCTGAGGGGTGACCGCGCCCGCAACCAGACACCACTACTAGGACCCCGGGTGGGGAGGCCGAAGAGCCAGATCCAGACGGTGGGTTCGCTGGGCCCCGTCCTCTCCCCGGACTGGGCCGTGATCGGCCGGGGGAGGGGTGCGAGGTGCTCGCACCCGTAAAATCCGTCACACCATGGTTGTCTGGGCCTACAACTGTCATGAATACACTAAGCTAAAGACTTCAGAATTCTCTAATTGGGAAAATTTGGATTTCTTTTGTCAGTTTCATAATTCAGCAGATTAAGTAGAGAAGGGACCTATTCAATGTAATGTCTGGAATGGTTTCCTGCAGGAAGAATGAAGTGCAAGAGACTTTGATTCCTGGCTCCTAAAAGGATCTTCATTGTATCCTACGCAGGTGCCAGGACTATCACCAAAACTCCAGAATTTGGGCAGAGGTAAGCAATTATGCATTTCTGTACATCATGCTAACAAAAGCCTTTGTGAGGCACCTACACTTTAATCATTGGTAGAGGTTCTTATCATGCCCTGGCCAATGAGATCATGGCAAGGGCCTTCAAGTTTAAACAATGTATGCAGTTCTGAGAAAAACTAAGGCCCTCAGGTACAAAAAGACAGACAAGAAAACAAAATTAATTTATTTTCACCTGATGGAAGACATTCCTTAAAAGAGAAACCAAACCAACTAAACTTGTGTTCAAGTACTTAGTTCTGAGTGGTTCATTCAGGCAGTTAAGATCAATATTATATAATCTTAGAATATTAGAATTATATGGTTGTAGAATATTATAATATTATGAGATTAAAATATATTACATTACACTCCTTGCTCACATTGATAATAGAGTAAAACAAAATTAATTATCTTTTGGAATGAATTTATGTACAGATGTTTTAAAAAGCTGTAATTACAGGATAAATTGGTTAAATGTTCAAAAGCCCCTAATTTTCTTTTCCTGCAATACATTCTATAGATTACTAAGGGATTTATTGTTTGTTGTTTTTCAAACTAAGTGTCTGATAAATATTATTCATCTATATAACATTCCTTTTTATAGTTTTAAGACATTTTCTGCTATTAACAACAATGAATGGGCCAAATTCTGCTCTTCGTTTATATTGTGCATCTTACGTACTGGAAGATGCAGAACTTCACCCATTTCATTTTCTTAAAATGAACTGTTGTTAAATAGTCAATATAAACTGGATTTTGAACTAGTATCTGCAACTGTGCTGAAATTTCTAAGGTCTGAAAGTATGAAAATAAAAATGTTGCTCCATCACTGGAACTTGTAATTACGATAAATAGTATAGCACTTTTCATTTAATCAGCTCTCCTTTGACTAAAAGCATGGGGGATTTTTCCCTAAACTAACAGGATTTACATTTGGTGGGCTGGGCATTAATTTCAACATTAGGATTTATGCTACTGCAGCATGCGAGACAAGAAAATAGGAAGAAAATGCCCAAGTCCATTCAACCTGAAACCCTTCTGCTTTAAAAGAAGAGTTAGGGAAGGAGAAAGAGGAGAATATGGAATTTTCCTCATTAGGGTTACAAATGTGTGCCACACAAACATCTCAGATGAGGCTGGTCCCCATACTGCTTGCAATTTACAAAATCACTTACATCCTGCTCTCTGCTAAAAGAGTTCATATAAGGATTGTTTTAGGATATGACTATGCTGGAAAAACAAAAAAAAAAAAAAAAGCCTGTGACAGCAAATCTCAGAGCCTGGGTCTAGTCCTGTATCCTGTGTTCTGATGGTGCCCCCCACAAGGTGCTTCTTATGTCATTTGTGCCATGATTACTGCTCCTACCAGAACTGCATATACATTTATTTAGATGCTTTGAGAGGACAACATTCATACCTGATAGGACCATAACATTCATATCATGTGATTCTTCCAAAGTTCCAACTCTCTCTTATGTTACTTCTACATCCATTACTTTCATTAGTTGAATACAATGTTGTATTTATGAACTTTCCCTCTTCCAGTAAATCTGCTTACTTTTCAGGTGTAGATCTCTCTCTTGGTCGAAGTGGTGGGATTGGAGGAGGTACATGTGGAGGAGGTATTGGAGAGGAGACCTTAAAGGCATCAGTGCCATTGTCAGAAATGCTTTTAGGCAATGGTCTGTATGTCTGTGTCTTCGCAGCAGGGTGTGGCTGAGCAGAGGGGGATGGGCTGTAACTACCTAAAATAAAACAGAACAAAGAAACAGCCAAAATGCATCTCCATTAAACTACAATTACACTCTTTTAACAAATGTAGGACATCAAAACCTTGTAAGGTTTGGAAACACAGTGGTGAGTAATGTGTGCATATTCAAATAATTATTATAGATCAATATATGGCCCCTTTTACTTGCTCCACCCCCAAAAGCTCAGGACATTTCATGAGAATTAATTACCATCTGGGGGAGATAATGTTTGAGGTGCAGCTCATGGCAATTAACTGCAACCTGTTATTAGTCCCCCAGAACTGTCCTGCCCTCAGCTGTTATTAATGTCATAGGCTGAGAAGGAGAAAGAAGTAGACATGCTTTTTTATCTTTTTTAATGAATGTATTTTGGGTTTGTATGTCAGAGCATCTCTACATAATTAGAGCTGTAGACAATTACCCAGTAAAATTTCTTGACTAAGCTCCTAAGAGTCCATTTGGGTCACAAATCTTGCATATACACACATTTTTGATCAAACATAAAATATCAGCATGGGAGCCCCATTGAAAGTAACATGGAAACTTAAATTACAGAACTCTTACAAGTAATTATAATCTGCAATACTTTGTGTGTGTATTTCATTCACACAATAGGGAGTTTTTGTTATGGTAAAATATCTCTGTCATATGCTTCCTAACTTTTGAAAAATTTGATATTTATCTCTCTCTCTCACAAGAATAATATATTATTTTTTCAGCACTAAATAATAATTGACTCATGGAAAAAGTTGACAAGAACACAAAGTAGGAGCATAATAACTATGTTTTCTTAAGGTCACATAATCTAAAGATATGGCACTTGTATATAACATGGTGCCCAATGCTAATCCTCAACTGTAGATGTAATTACAGTTAATACTTTCATACTGTACTTTACTCTTTAGTTTAATATTCAAGAGGCAAACTATTCAGTATTGTTAGTGAGAATAAATATAATTTAGTCAAAGATTATACCAATACATTATATCTGATCTGCATTGAGAGGGCCAAATCTGCAATACCATTCTGATTATTTTTGTAGTAAGAAACCAACCAAAATGAGGCTTTGCCACATTTGGTGAACAAAGACACAAGCGCATGCACTTTTTTTTGTTATACAGCTGATCCCTGACTTACCAATGAGTTACGAACCAAACACTAGGTTATAACTCGATCTGTTCATAAGTCGGATTACATTCACTTACATACGGCCATGCTGTTCGTAAGTGCGGATTTCATTTGTAACTCAGGTTCCAGCTGTATAGGAGGTTGGTCGTGAATACAAACGGTCGTAAGTCGATGTGTTCGTAACTCGGGGACCGGCTATACAAACTTAATAAGAGCAGCCCTGAGTGGTTAGCTACCATTAGTGCTTGCTGACAATAATAAAAGAAGTAAAGGAATAATTCCTACCAGTATTATATGCATATGCAGCATTATACATGTCTGTGACATCATCTATAAAAAGAAATATATATGTTATTGTAGGGCAATACTTGCCAATATATCATAGCCAGCAGTTTTGTCTTTGCAAATACAAACAGAGGATTAGTAGGCAATCAACTCTCACCCCTCATGTATATGTTTTCTGGAGTTTGTCTTTTCCCTTAAAACATACTATGGGCTATTTTTATCATCCTATTCTGAATGGCATCTTGTTGTTATGACATCCAGATTGCACAGTTACTACTTCACCCCATAGTCATTTTTTTCTATTCAACCGTCTCCTTTTCCCACAGCCATTCCTTCTCCTGACAGATTTGCTCATATTAGGGGCCAGTAAGGTATCATTCTACTGTAAAAAACAACTTTTTTACATCTAGCAATGTTATCCAGTGGCTAGAGCAGATTAGGGGAGATAATTTTGGTGTTTGTCAATTCTTGGCTCTACCACTCATGTCATGTGTGACCATAAGCAAATCAATCTTGCTACAGCAATTTTCCCACCAGTAAAACGGAAATAATATCAACTTCTTCCTTCCCTCAATCCCTCATGATGTGTAATGAAGCATAAATATTGGCGGAAAGTGCCTCGCCATCCTTGAATGAACAGGAGAATAAGCAAACATATGATTATTAATAAGACTAATCACATTTCAGGGGCACCTTAAAAACAATTTATTTAGAAATTAATAGGAGGGGACAAAATAAGTTTAAATGGAGAGGCAACATATTGCCTCATTCAGTAGGCTTCATTGTTCTAGCACACGAGTTATGTAGCTGAATGGAGAATAGCAGCAATTACCATCCTCTACCCAGGCAACTCCTGGTCACTCAGACTGAAGATGGGACCAGGCAAGCTTCCTTGCTGCTCAGAACATCTCACTGACCTCTTGTGCTATACATGATCAGATAGGCTTTTCTCCTTTATTTTTTTGTAAAAATAAGCCGATCAGAAAGTACATATCCTTTTGCTGGAAAAACATTTATCACACTGAGGCCTTGACTACACTGGCATGTTTTGTCACCAAAAACTGCCTTTTGGCGACAAAACATTGAGAGTGTTTACACTGCAACGTGACTTTTGTTGGGAAAACATCCAGTTTTGGTGACAAAATCTTCCACCCCTGTGAGAGACTCTTGTATTTTCCCTTCCCTTTATTGTTGACAAAGAGCCAGTGTGGCCTCTGTTGTTTGTTTCATCAAGAGAACTGGCTTCTGCCAGTATCCCACAATGCTTGCCCTGATGGCTGTGGTCAGTGTTTTGTGATCTCTGTTGCCTTGTAGGCATGCACCTCTCCCTTTTCAAAGGTCCAGGAAATAGGTAACAGCTGAGTGAGCCGCTCCATTTGGGGAACAAATGAAGAATAAATAATGGGAATGCTTCTGTTCTGCCCTGATAGGAATATAGCAGCAGGCAGACAGCTGCTGCAGAAGGAAGGGTGGTGAGAATGCTGTGCTGCTTAGACATTCCTCAGCAGAGAGAACCATGACCGAATCCCAGGAAATGCAGGGATCAGTTCATCCCTCCCACAACACTGCACTGTGGGATTCTTACCCACATTGCTTTTCTCTGTTGATAGGGTGCTAGCAATATGGCCATGAATTGTTGACAACGAGAGACAGAAAAACTAGTTTGACCAGTTTTCAATTTTGGCAATTTTGCATGTCAACAGCATTTCTGTCTCCAAACTTTCCCAGTGTAGACAGTCTGACTTCGCCTCAAAAAATTCCCATTGGGTTCTATTTAATATCTGTAACTCAGTGATCATAAGCTTTGTATTTCCAGAGAGCAAGCCACCAAAATGCAGGGAAAGTTGCATTTCTTAACGGCTCTAAGAGTTATGCAGCACATAGAAAAATGTATACTTACCGGGCTTGTGAACCATATGGATTTGCTTGAACATTGTTTTATACCAATCTTTTGGCCGGTCAACTGTCTAAATAAAAATACAATTTATAACAATTAGCTAAAGAAACAAAAGGATTAATGGTGACACATTAGATCAAACTCATCCCTACGTTGTAATTAACACTGACTTTTAAAGAGATTCAGTAGGATTGAATTTGACCCACTGTGATTCATCCCTCCCACACACACTCATTCAAATGTTATACTTGTGTTTTTCATTCACCATACCGTTGCAAGCTTTCCTATCAGTGATTTATATAATAGCAAAATAAGGTTTTAAAGATTATTTTCTATTCTCTTTGTCACAGGGCTATCTATATTCCATATTGAAATATGCTTATGAATATGCATAAATGGTAAATGCTTTATATACAATACTCCATGTAACATATTATTTGAAGAATTATAATCTACTGAATATGATTTTCCCTTTTGTATGCATGTATCATTCCTGTATTTAAAATTATAAACATGAAGTATAAAGCTGTTTTACTAATATAAACATGCTAAGTGAAGGCCATTAAAGGTATTTTAGAAACTTGATGGCTCTCTAATACAATGATCTATAAATGTTGTCGTTTTTTCTATAAGCCAGCCTCAGTAAGAAGGGTTCAAAGTCCTCAAAAGGGAAAGGGGGGGGGGGGAACTTTAGGTCCCCTGATGCAGGAACCTATCTTGGACTTTGTACTTTTCCCCTGAAAGTGTGAAAAGGTTTAAACTGAACATAAAGGATTCTTGCCTTCGGCAGTTGTTTTAGCAGGTCTAGTAAAGACTTGTCAGGCAAATTGATTGCAGACTGCTCTCTGGTCAATCCGGTTACTCTGCCCCATAAGACAGTAGGAAGGGAAATCGATGGGAGCAACTCTCCCCTCGATCCCACGCAGTGTAGACTCTGTAGTAACTCAACTTAAGGTATGTCGATTCCAGCTATCCTAGTCACACAGCTGGAGTTGTGATCTTAAGTCTACTTTCTGTGGTTGCGTAGATGTAGCCTAATGCTCAAATTGTTTCCCAGCTACCTTGTTTTTCCTCGTGTTTGTAAAGATTCAAATGCTTAGCAAAATCACAATACAGATACTATTTTGCTCCCAAATTAGCTGGAAAATTTGAAAACTGGATTAAAATTACAGTTGACAATGTGACCAAAAACTCTTCTGAAAGAGACAAATTCTGATCATCTATTTCCAAAATCCATTTTTTTCTCTTACATTTCAAAATGTCTGGAACTAAGATGGTAGTTTGGTCCTCCTGTAGTACCCCAACATGCAAAGATCTGAGTCATAGACTTTGGCTTACTCCCACGCTTCCTGGTTTGGCATGGCAGAAATGCTACTGAGACAACATGCTCAGATGCTGGGACTAAGGAGAGCTTTGCAATGATGGTTTCCAGTTTGCGATACAGAAATGGCAAGGATGGATTTTGAAAACAGCTTTATCCAGTCTTTCTTATCAGGAAAACAATGAGTTTGAGAACATGGTAGAGTAAAAGGAAAATGAGAGGAGATCAACAGAGCTATATGCTGCAAAAAAATGTTTGTTTCTAAGCCCTTACTTGAAAGTCTATCTTTGTGCTGCATGGTGTCTCAATATACAGTAAGGATGTTATTTACAATGAGGTGGAGTAGCTGAATGGTCAAGGTGCTTGACTACAATCCTGGAATGTGGGTTCAAACTCACACTGAAAGGCTGTATCAGGTTAACCCAGCTGCAAAATGGATGCCTGATCCACAGGGCTAGAGAGTTAAGGAGGATACGATATTATCTTTTATTGGACAACTTCTAACCACAGTGCTAAGGAAGTCAAAGGTGACTGGATGGAATGCTAGTCACATAACTCCTTTGTATACTATTAGCTATGGAAAGAGACACAGATGCACATTAAACTATGGTAACATGATAAGCCATCTGTGCTTTGGGCAGACTTTTTTAATGTTGTTATCTACCACAGTGGAACTCATATTTACTGAACTCTGCAGGCAGCTGTCTTTTTCATATGAAGCAAAAACTTTGAAACTTTCATTGTACTACTGAGATGAGCTGAACTGAAACACCCAGGTGCCACCAATAGAAAACTCAAGGGCAAGTTGGATTTTTTGGTATCCAGTGACCCTTGGAAAAAGAGTGAGTGCTGCACTCCTGTTATTCTTTGTTCCCTGAAAATGCTGTTGTGGCACTTCTGTATGTTCCTGGATGGTGCTACATTTCTGAGGGAGAGGCATGTTTGCTGACAGCAACACCGTGTTCATTCTCTCACTGTTGGTTTATGCTCAGACATGCAGAAATCACCTGCAGTTTGTTTAAAGCGTTTGCTCACATCAGTATCTTGAGAACTGCATCTTCTTTCCAGCTAAGTCCCATGGGAAAGTGAGGGACACACACACACACACACACACACACACACACACACACACACACACACACACACACACACACAAAGCAGACTGTAACTTTTAACTCATCTGGTCATGACATTCACATATCAGTAATATTATAATCTGTGTAATATTTTGATGCAGCAGTACAGAGCTGACAAGAAAGCAACCAGAAACTCAAATCGAAAGTCCGAATGGCACACACAAGTTTCAGAGAAAATTTTAGAAACAGATTTGGAAGTTAAGTACACTGTTAGCTGCTTGCCAATCACAAATACATTTGAGGGATTTCAGCTATACGCTTATATAACTAATATCTACCCTATGGAATCAATGTGCTATTAATAACTCCTACACAAAAGGCAGGGACATCTGCTTAGCAGGCATGGGAAGCTATAGCTTGATTCTAATGCGAGTTACTCATTTTTGAAAGCTTTTCTATTTTATGACATATATGCTGAAATCAAAGTAAAAGAAAGCAAGAAATGCTAGAGAGTTCCCACCCCACCCACCCACCGAAAATATCCTGGTCTTACCACTTATTCTGAAATCTTTCCTATTGCTTTTCCCCATCAATTCCTGTCCCTTTCTTCCTCCCCCCGCCCAATTTTTCAATCCTGAAAAGCAGCTCTTGACAATTAAACAACCCCATGTGTCAGTGTTGGCAGGCAAAGTAAAGCCAACAGCTTGCCCATCACAAAGATTTCACCTGCAAGGGTCCTGCGGCTCTCATCCTGGCTGCCACTCGTCTTACTCTCTCTCCGTCTAGCACAACACCTCTCCTTCAGCCAGGAAGGCCAGTGAGCAGCTCCTTTGTAGACTCACTGCTAGTGTCTAGGCTAGCCAGAAGGGGCTGCCTTGACAGCAGCATGGAAAGAATGCTTCAGCATAGTAAAAACAAAACCCTGTTCAGTCTGACATCCTGGGACTGCTCATGCAGTAACCAGTGGCAAGTCATCAAAACTGGGCTAATCACAAAGAAGGTTTCCATGCTGCTCATTTAAACATTGCATGGTGGGTCTCTGATGCATTTCATTAGGATAACAGTCAGATTGGTTCTTATTGGAACAAGTCAGTTAATTTCAATACAGTACCCAGGGAAAAAAGGCCCCTGAGTTTTATTTGCTAATGGCTAAAATTAGCAAAACTTTGCAGATTTAGAATGACAAGACAGAGAGTAAATATTACAGCATAACACTACAAAGGGCTGGGACCTTAATGGAAACATAAGAATAACTGCAGTTCCTACTATTTATAATTAAAACTAGAACTGTGGAGTTGCCCAGTTAGCTTCCTGCAACACACAATATTATATTCATGAGCCCTCTGATTACACACACTGCATTCTACATTATATAAGACTAGAAGAATGTGAAAAACCCATTACCAACAATCAATTCATTGTCTAAATTCTCTCTGTCGCACTCTCTCTCATACACACACACACAAACACACGCTCCCCAGCATTTCCTACCGTTCTAATTGCTGTTGGGATTCCAGATTCATCTACAGGGCCAATCCCTGCATAATGTGGTGCTCTAATGACTGTAACTTTCTTTTCTTCCTCTGAAGATCTACAGATTGGTATTGTACTGGGAGCAGTGCTGCTGCCAAAAGACTGAGCATACTGTGAGTATGTCTCTGTGGAGTCTGTAAAGAAAATGCAACAAAACATAGTAAAACAATAGAATAATCATGCTGAGCACTTATAGCACACGTTATATTTTCGAAGTGCTGTACAAACATTAAAGGAAATTTAATAACCATATTCATACAGAATACCTGATAATACTACACATTAGTCTGAGCAGCTGAATTTAGCAGGATTTCTGCTGCAAAACCTTCTACTTAAGGAGCTACACATACGTAGATTATTTTATTAACCTCTGTGCTGATCTCAAAATCTCTCAGGTTAAAGAGATTTTAAAAAAACTTATGACATGGGAAAACAATTTTTGCTTTGCTGTTTTTAGGGGCTGGCTGAGGGAAGAGACACAACCACACACACAAGCAAAAGTTTTAGTTAAGCTAGTGGAACAGGCATTTTTTTCTGTAACCTAAACTTGCCACTTTGACATATATACTATGAATTAGTGCTTTGAGGTAATATGCTTCTATAAGCATGGCAGAGTTGAAAACAATTACTATTCTATACGTGAATCTACTCTCACATTCCAGAGATTTTCAAAACATGTTGGGAAATGTTTTGCTTATGCTGTAGGAGAATTACCCAGGTAACACTCTTTAACATTATCAGCTTTGGGACAGAAATGAATTATGAAGCCTAATTTTTTTACACATACTTTTCATCCCTACATTTATTTGTACATTTATTTATATAGCTTTGTATGAATAATATGCCATATGCACATCAATAACTCCAGTAGCAGGCATGTCAATAAGTAATCTACATTACTTTTAATTTCTTTCAATTACTGAAATTAATATTGGCTACTACTACCTAATTTTAAAATTCACAGCAAGTCATTAACAAAAAAGAGACAACGTTAAGATGCTGGTACATGTCATATGAAGCCTTGTATTGTGCTAAGGTGATGTGCTTAAATATAACCTTGCATACTGAAGAAATACAATAAAGATTCCCTTGTTATTCAGGCAACAGATTTCAGTGGTTTATTAGTGCTCAATTATGACTAAGCCTGGTTTGCAACAGCTGGTTCTAAACTACCCATCTACTTCTGCTGTGGTATGGATGAAACTAGGCATAAAACTACATTTCTAGCACTACTAGTGGAAACTATGATTGCCCAACCAATGGAATAGACATTACAGTCTTTACTGTTTCACTTGAAGAGTTGTGACATAACACAACAAAAGAGACTGATGGTTTGTGGCTCTATGTGTAATGGGAATATTTTCTTTCCCTGTTTATTGGAAAAAAAATTAATTGAACACAACAACCCTTTCAGTTGTTTAATCTGAAAGCCTGTAAAAATCCAGTACTACAGATACCTGGTAAGATGGATCTGTGACTGTCAAATGTCTGAATATCTGGGCTTGATCCATGATGTTAAATTTAGAAAATTTTTGAAATCCAATGTTATGCTCCTTATAGGGTCCAGTCTGCTGGCATCAAAGGGATTTTTGAGTGTATAAGGAATATGAGATCTGGCCATTGTTTTAAGTCTCAAACTCAGAATCACCCCAGAATCAGAAATCCTGAGATAATGCTCTTAAATGTGTTCATAAAGGACCGAAGCATAAACAGTCAGATCTCCAAATTAGGGGGTCAGGTATTTTAAATGAGCCTTGTGTTTTTGTTGTGCAGGTACACATACTCAATTTGCACTCCCATCTCTTAGGGTACGTCTAGACTACAAGCCTCTTTTGGAAGAGATCATCTAGACAGCCACAAGAGTTTCAAAAAAGCAATCCACTTTTTTGAAAGAGAGCACCCAGGCAACCTGGATACTCTCTTTCGAAAAAGACCTGTTTGCATTCTATAATGCCTTTTTTTGAAAGAGCTCTTTTGAAAAAAGGCATTCTTCCTCATAAAATGAGGTTTACTGCTGTTGAATAAACCGCTGCGTTCTTTTGATTTAAATTCAAAAGAACGCAACAGCAGTCTAGACACAGGTGAATTTTTTTTGAAAAAAGGCCACTTTTTTCAAAACAACTCTGTAGTCTAGATATAGCCTACAGATGATACCGCATGTATACAATTCATAGATATTTAAGAAGAGAAGGGACCATTCTGATCACTGAATCAGACCATCTTTGTAACACAGGAGCTAATAAGTTATGCGCATTCAAATGTTTTTGTATATGCAGATTCTGGGTATGCAAATGCGGATGAAAAAACTGGAACACCTACACATATTAAGATTAATGGAAAGACATTAATTTTGGTTGTATATGTGCTTTTTGAAAACAGAAATCATTGTAGACAAAATTCCATGGACCAGAGACCTTGTCTTTATATGCTTCTGAAGTATGACTTATTATAGTAAAGAATACATAAGAAAATTTAGTTGGCACTGACTAAATTTTTAAGACGGTGGCAAACCTGCAACCCATGAGCTGCATGTGGCCCACTGATGGCTCCATCTGTTGTCCACAAACCCCCTATCTTTCCCCCTCTCCCACGTGCCTCTCACAGTCTGGGGGCACTGAAGATCCATACTTCCTGCTTCTTCTCCTCGCTCCTAGCATTTTCAGAGCACCAGAACCTGCTCCTCTCCCTCCCAGAGCTGGAACCCTGCAAATTTGTTTGCAGCTGTTCAAGCTCTGAGAGGGAGGGAGAGGAGTGTTCATCTGCCAATTTGTGGAACTTCAAAAGTGCTTGGTGGGAGGAGCAGTGTAGGAAGTGGGGGCTCCAGTGCACGAGATCTACATGGGGAAGGAGGGCAGACAGGGGGGCTGCAGGTGGAACCCCAGTGGGCTGCAGGATGCTGTGGCCCACTGAGATGAGGGAGGACCACTCATGCGACCTGCTCATTATTCTTGGTTGCCCATCTCTGTTATAAGACCGCAGGATCTCATAATCTGAAGATACTGCAGCCTCAACTTGCACTAACTCAGCACCATGCTAAACTGGACCCTACAGCCTTAATGTGGGTAATAAATACCTAATGGGTTTCTGATCCAGATTTAGGAGTATCTGAAGATCAAATATCTTTAATATACAATTTCAACTCTCAATATAACTAATGGAATTATTGCAAGAGGTCATTTCCATAGGCACAAGAATCTTACTTTAAAGTAATACGACTTTGTTGTAAAGTCAATTTAGCAATGTTAATTTATTAGCAAGAAATTGTTTGGTTGCTTGTAATCTTCTCCAGGTACACAAATAGAAAAAAAACCCTTCTTTATTTATGTGTAATCTCTGTAACTGTTTGCAGTCCTTGCCATACAAATCAGAACATGTTGCATAATGTATAAAGTAAACATTCTGCGAAAGGCTTACCCATCTTCCTGCCATGCTGCATGATAATGTTTGAATTGAGTGAAGCTGGTGGAGAGTATGCTGAAGAAGGGGAAAAGGGTCTTTGAAAGTGACTCATTGGACTGGTAACAGTGCCAGAGTTCCCATTCACTGTTATCTGGGCCTGAGAGAAACAAAACAATATCCCATTAAAGTGCACACAAAGCTCTCTGAATACCAACCCAAACAAAGGGTGATGCAAGATTGTCATCCACATGACTATGCCCGTTGCCAGGTACTTAGCTGTAATGGATCAGAATTCACTGAAATACAAAACTCATCACACAAGAAGTGCAGTGTGCTCTTTATGCATCTCTGCCTCTCCCTTTGTCCTTATAATAAAGGTCTGTGAATGAAGCATGTTGGGATCATGGGTAGGGGACAGAAGAAGCATACTCAAGACAGCAGGATAAGCCGCACAAAATATTTGCACGGATCTGACATCAGTATAAAATGAAGGTGGCAGTGAATCTTACTCTCAGCATGTGACAAAGGCTGCCTTAGATCACTTTCTATTCTCCCCCCAATACACATACTTACCTCTAGTTGGTATTAATGGAATTGGACTGAATGTGCATATTGAACGGGAAAGGACATAGCTGAAACTTCTTTGCCACGTGCCACCCAACTTATGGGCAACTGTGAGATGCTTGAGTGTAATGTATACATAGCAAAAAGGAGCATCAATGCATCTTGTGAACAAAAAAGGAGAAAACAGTACATTAAGGGGGTTTGCTGACATTACAAACCACTTGAGCTCTGCTCTCAGAAAGTTTTTGTAAAGGAATGTATCCTTTTGCTCCCCTCTCCCTCATGCCACATATCTTTATATCTCAGCTGGGCTGCCACTCCCCATTTGGAAAGCACTGCCAAGATTATAGAGTGGAAAATCTGAGAAGATAAATTAATTTTTAATATAAAATAATTCATTTCATTTAAAAAATAAGGCAGGGCTGCAATTTTCTGTGCCTCTTTTTACGTGCAGTTATTTTTAAAAATCTGAGCAGAATTATGAGCATTGAAAATTTCCTTTGAGTAGTTTGGTATAATAGAGAACAATTAAAGAAGCATGGATTTGTGTTATACTGCTGATGTGAAGGGTGAACTAAGCCCTGAAGCTCCCTGCTGGAGGCTTGTGGTTGTGAAATGTGAAGTTAAGGGTATGAAGCAGAAAAACAATGAACACAAAGCCTCAGTTTTAAAGAGAATGTACATTACGGCTAGACTCTTCATAAATGAAATGTGGTTTCACTCTCTCTCATGTTATAAGAAGTGATAAGCCTCACTCTCTTCTGTAGTTTAAGAAATAGGTATTTTAGGGATGAATAATTTCAGGCCCGGTTTCACATTTTACATGCCCATCTCAATAGAAATTGCAGTTGAGTAAGGAAAAGAAGATCTAGCTCCTAAGTATATGTCATTATCAGAATTGAATGCATTTAGACCATAATATTTTATGGATATCTTTTAGAAGTGAATTGAATAGTGAAGTTTTAGGTTGTGCCAAAGTGTCCATTAGTTCAGACTTGTTCAAGAACAAACATTTAAATAGATTTTTTTTCAAAAGCTGCATTTATTGTAAATGTGTTTGTTTCTAAACTCTTTAAAAATGAATGAAACAATTCAAAGATCTGATTTCCAGAATACGGAATTCCCAGTGTATGTAGGTGCATGCTTAATTTGAACTCACATTTATTCATATATTTCAGGTGTTTACACATGCAAGTCTCCAATATAGTGTCTGCTCCTTTATTGGAAATTGTCAGTCTCCATCTGGCTGAGATGATTTGTGCCAGGATGGACTAAGCCCTGAAGCGTCCTGCTGGAGGCTTGTGGCTTTGCCACACCCCAGCCCAGAAAAGGCTATAGAGAACTCCTCCACGCAGGCTTGAGTGGCTGCAAGGAGAAGTGGCCACTCAGAGGCCAGGAAGACTGAAAGAGGTGCAGGAATAGAGGCAGTTCAGTTCCTCTGGAGATCTCAACCTGGATAGAGCGGGAGACTGCCTGGCAGAAGGAGAGCAGCAGAACCATGGAGAGCTCTGAGTGGAGAGCTAAGTGTGGGACTTTTGAGTGGACTATGATGGGACTTTGAGAGAAAGCCCAGATGTAAGTGCAAGGACATGGTCTCCGGGAGGGGAAGTCCCGGGGGCACCACTCTCTCTCAGAGTGGGGAATGGACTCGAAGGGACATGACAGAGGGCAGAAAGATGGGCAGGCCCAGCCTTTGGCTCCGTACCTTCAGGGCCCTGCACTCCTTAGGGCAAAGCAAGCAAGGCAGTTGCCTCTGCCTCATGCCTTCAAGGCCCCACGCTGCCTGGCACCTGCCCACCCAGCTGGTTGCTTGCTGCCCTGGCTGGAAGCCACCTGGATGCATGGTGCAGCCAACCACAGCATGCCACCTTGGGTCCTGCAAACTCTTTAGAGATGGGTTCTATTAAATGTGTACCCCAGAAGGGGTTTGTGTTGATTGACTCATACAGCGTGTGATTCAGCCAGAAGGCTTTGTTGCTGAAAAGGCTTTTGGAACGTAGAGAAAGTGAGGTATGTGCACTTGGCCAAAAGGGGTGCTTTTGAGAGGTGAACATGACCATTGTGCATTCTAGTATCATGTGCATGCCAGGGTTTTAAAAACAACCTGAATATGGTCACTAGGATATAGGCCTTTATCAATTTACAGAAATGCTATCAAAAATGTCCCTGGATCCAACATGTGGTAGCCCAGCTCTTGACAGGACAGCTGAGCAATAGCATTTCACATTGGTGCTTCGTGCCATGCACTGGCTCTTACCAGGACTTCATCTTGGACTCTGAATGTGGTGTACCTGAGCTACAGTAGAGCTGCCTCCCTTTATAAAGCTCTCTAAAAATACTTCTAGCCATAGGAACACAAGAGCTGGTTGACACCAGAGAGAATATTTCAGGAGCTAGGGAAAGGATGTCTTCAGCTAAGGCCCACTGGATGTGAGGTACCTTCCTTCTTCCTAAAAGCAGACGAAGTACCTTCCTTCTTTCTTCTTGCATCTGACGAAGTGGGTCTTTGCCCACGAAAGCTTATGCTCCAACACTTCAGTTAGTCTATAAAGTGCCACAGGACTCCTCGCCCCTAAAAGCAGAGTGAGCCCAATTGCACCTCTTGCAGAGGTAAATGCAACAACCTCTCTGAGAAGGCTTGCTCCCAATTGCAGATGGTAGGCACGTGATTTTCTCTCTCTAGATGGAGGAACAGAGTTAACAGGACATTTGTAGACTGGAAAAATTTTGGAGCCTTTGTGGCATCAATACCATATATCAACTTGAACTAAGCTGTACATCAATAGAACAGCAGTGATGCTGGCTTCTATCCTTTTATATGGCTCTGAAACCTGGGCTTACCACAGAGATGTTGGACATTTTTTATGTTAAACAGCACTCATGTATTGAAAACATATGGTGGTTTCATCCCATTATGAGTGAGAATGTCAGGCTTTGGACCAACTAGCCTCCAGTGTCTTCCCATGTAACTTTCAATGCCAGCTCAGGTAGGTTGGCCATCTGCTCTATATATTGGAGTCCATAGCAGCCCACCAGCTTTATGCATTTGATTCAGCAAAAGCTGGATGGAGAGGATATTGTGGATAGCCTTGTACATGCTGGAGGGATAGTGTGGCTTCTACCACTGCCTGCTTCAGCCTTAACATAGAGCAGACTTGAACACTGGCAGGAGAGCAGGTTTATGGAAACATGTGATCTGAAGGGAGGAAGTGTTGCCCTATATATTAAAAATGCATATACTTGGACTGAGGTCGAGATGGACATAGGAGACAGACTTGGTGAGAGTTTCTCAATAAGATCAGAAGGAGTAAAAAACAAGGGTGATGTCATGGTAGGAGTCTATTACAGACCACTTAACCAGGAAAAAGAGGTGGATGAGGCTTTTTTTAAATATCTAACAAGATCATCCAAAGCCCAGGACTTGGTGATGCTGGGGGACTTGAACTATCTGGACATCTGTTGAGAAATTAACACAGCAGGGCACACATTATCCAACAAGATTTTGGAATATATTGATGATAAGTTTTAACTTCAGAAGGTGGAGAAAGCTACTAGGAGGGAGACTGTTCTAAATTTGATTTTAAGAAATAGGGAGGCACTGGTTGAGAATCTGAAAGTGGAAGACAGCTTTGGTGAAAGTGATCATGAAATGATTCTAAGGAATGGTAGAAAGGAGAACAGCAACATCAAGACATGGATTTCAAGAAGGCAGACTTTATCTGCCAGCTCCCTGAGTTTACTAATTTACCAACCAGATGACACCCCCCAAGCCAGGCACCTGCACTGAACTCTTAGCTTCAGGAAGAGCAGCTGGCTTCAATTCTCACTCATACCAGTCAGATTTGCCAGTTATTTTCTGAATTTCTTTTACTACAATTACAAATATATGTGTTTGAATAAGAGATTTGCTTTACAACTCATCTCTGGCTACAGTGTTTAGTGGCTAAAGCAATAATTTTAATTTAGCATTGTGTTTGCTGCAAGTTCATATAGTTGGAAAAGACAGGCGGTCAGTGAGGAATGGTCCATATTTAAATAAAATTATCTTTGATAATGATCAGCAAAATAGGCTAAGAGTAGTTATTAATAAAGCAAAAAGTTCTCTCTAAATATATGATCATTAAATATCCAGTCAATCAACAGGAACTACACTCTGGTGTCTCAGATGCTATAGTTGTTCACTGTACTTTGCAAATAACCGTGTGGCTTATGTGGACATTATAAACATCGACTACATCAGACTTACTGAAACACGGTCGATAGTGTGGTGGTAAGGAAGGCTTAAGGTATCCAACTCCAGCCACATAAATAGCTGGAGTTGACGTACCTTAAGCTGAGCTTGGCAGTATCTTCACAGCAGGTGGTCTACAGGAGAAATGCTCCTATCGTTGTCCTTTACTCTTTGTGATAGTGAGGAATATTGGCATTGACCCAGGGTACCCTCAGCATTTGATTTAGCTGGTGTTTATTAGACCTGCTAAACCAAGTCCTGGAAGATCAATCGCCAGAATGTCAATCCTCTGGTGAGTGGAGACGTGACCTCTGAGGGAGAGACTCAAGTAACACATGCAATGGTCACTATTAATGTCTGCT